GGTAAAAAAAAAGTGAGATGGTAAAGGTACCAACGGACCGTGGTAAAAACACCGAGAATTTTTTTTCAGTGCACCCGATTCCTGCATGAGCCCCAAAGAGCATGGATTCATACGTGAAACAGGGCTCACGTGGGAATCGGGATACGGCTTCACGTCAGATGGGCGACGTATTGACGGTGTCACGACTCAAAGTCGGTCCCAACTCCAAGGGCCCCTCCCCCCTCACTCGGGGGGNGGGGGGGGGGGGGCGGGCCCCGTGCCAAGCCGCGTTACGGCGGCGAAATAGCGTCCATTCCACCGTAACGAGGCGATGGTACAAGCTGCCGTGCTAAGGAAGAACGCCGTATGATCCTTGAGGCGTCGCCTAATTTCCTACGGTCATATAAAGAATTTATTGGAAAAGTTGTCTATATTCTTCTTCAAATTTGTCAGACTATTTTGTACGCAATTTAATGTAAAAGCTCTAAAAGCTTAGGAGAAACGCCGTATGAACCTTGAGGCGTCGCCAAATTTCCTACGGTCGTACAAGAATTTATTGGAAAAGTTGTCTGTATTCTTCTTCAAATTCTTCAGACTATTTTGTACGCAATTTAATCTAAAAGCTCTAAAAGCTCAGGAGAAACGCCGTATGAACCTTGAGGCGTCGCCAAATTTCCTATGGTCGTACAAGAATTTATTGGAAAAGTTGTCTATATTCTTCTTCAAATTTGTCAGACTATATTTTGTACGCAATTTAATCTAAAAGCTCTAAAAGCTCAGGAGAAACGCCGTATGAACCTTGAGGCGTCGCCAAATTTCCTACGGTCGTATAAGAATTTATTGGAAAAGTTGTGAATATTCTTCTTCAAATTTTTCAGACTATTTTGTACGCAATTTAATCTAAAAGCTCTAAAAGCTCAGGAGAAACGCCGTATGAACCTTGAGGCGTCGCCAAATTTCCTATGGTCGTACAAGAATTTATTGGAAAAGTTGTCTATATTCTTCTTCAAATTTGTCAGACTATTTTGTACGCAATTTAATCTAAAAACTCTAAAAGCTTAGGAGAAACGCCGTATGAACCTTGAGGCGTCGCCAAATTTCCTACGGTCATATAAAGAATTTATTGGAAAAGTTGTGAATATTCTTCTTCAAATTCTTCAGACTATTTTGTACGCAATTTAATCTAAAAGCTCTAAAAGCTCAGGAGAAACGCCGTATTAGCCCTCAGGCGTTGCCAAATGTCCTTCGAGAAATCATGAATTTTCGGGAAAATTTTTGAAAATTTCTCCTCCGATGTTACACAGAGTTTTTGTTCGTAATTTGATGTAAAGAATCCAAAAATTTCAAGAACATTTATTCTCAATTTTCTCACGAATTAAATCTTTTCTGAGAGGAAATTTGGCAACGTTCGAATGTTCGTACGGCGTTTTGCCTCGGCACTGCAGCGCGGTACGCCGGACGCGACGCGCGGGCACCATTTCGCTGCGCTGCGGAAGAACGCCGCATGAACGTTCGAACGTTGCCAAATTTCCTCTCGGAAAAAAATTAACTTATGAGAAAAGTCTGAATATTCGTTCCCCAAATTTGTTGATTCTGTAGATCAAATTACGATCAAAATCCTCTGTAACATTGGAGGAGAAATTTTCACAAATTTTCCCGAAAATTTATGATTTTTCGAAGGAGATTTTGCAACGCCTGGGGGCTCATACGGCGCTCCTCGTAAGCACGGCAGCATTCTGCTCGAGCTGGCGTAGGCGCACCGCGGTATACGTCATGTACCAAATCAATGTTACCAGCCAGTCAAAAAAAACTGACGGCGTTTTTACCGAGGTCCGTTGGTACCTTTACCATCTCACTTTTTTTTACCAATTATCGGTAATTTTACCAAGACAGACTGGTAAGCTTACCTAAAAACCGGTATTTTTACTGTTTTTTTAAGGTTAGGATACCACTTTTATTGGTAATCAATTCCCGGTAACTTTGCCATTTTATCTCGGTAATTCTACCACAGTCGATAAAAAATACTGGCGTTTTTACCAAGGTCCAGTAAAATTACCGAGAAAGTTCAATAATTTTACCGAGATGCGTCGGTAAAATTACCAATACCATAAATGGTAATTTTACCAAGAAAAAATTGGGATCAAATAGAACCCTGAATTCTTGGTAATTTTGCCCTTTTCTTAGTAAATACACCGAGATTTTTTTTTCAGTGCAGCCCGCGAGCTGGATTCGCCAATGAGAGGAACAGCGGGAGGACTCCTCGAACCGCTATTTTAGAATGGAGAGAGTAATTCACCCACGGGTTGGATGAACTTGTGCAGCGCGAAAAGATGGAAAGATGAAAAGATGACTGGAACGGGCGACCGGGGGGGGGGGGGGGGCCNACGGGGCGAGAGGAAGAAACCGCAGTGATAACTGTGCACAGCTCCGGAGTGCGGATCTTTTGTCGGTATGTAATTCGCGGTTCCGGGTCGCTGGCACGGGCTCTCTCTCCGTTGCCGGATCTCCGCGAATTCCGGAATTTCCCGGACCGAATGACAGGTCTTGGCGCGTATAAAGGCTGTCACTAGCAGGAGGATGAATTCCGGATTTTTCACTGGGTTTGCCATATTCGGGGAGAACCGGGAAATGTCGGGAAATCTGAAACAGTCCGGGAAAATCCGAATATGTCAAGGGAAATGACGAAAATGTCGGAGGAAATGGATCACTAGACAAGGTACGAGTTAAAGGATTCAGTGGCGTGGCGTGCTTTGCGATATATCGATTGTTATGCCATTTAAACCTATGGAAAAGGATCGATAAACAGGGTGTTCGCAGCGAACACCTTCATAAGCGATTCTTTACCAATGATTTAAATGGCATAATAATCGATATATCGCAATTCACGCCACGCCACTGAAAGGATTCTAATACATGTTTCTTAACCAGACTTTCCGGTAGAACACGACTCGCGCAACGAAAACTCCTAACGAAGATATATTAACGTTTTTATTTCACATTGGCTACGAGGAATTTGAACTGCCCGCTCACAAGAAACTCAAAGCTCTACGCGAGTCAAATCGCGCACTACAACGGCTTCAGCAAGCTTCTCAATCGAGCATTGTTCATTTCCTACCATGTGTTGTTCTAACTATGAGCAATTTGCTGTAGCTGTGCCAAAGCGTCAAAATTGAGGCGGTCAGATTTTTAAATCGCAGAGACTGTCATGATAACGTTTAGCGCGCGATGTGAATCACGTAGAGTATTGAGTTTTCATAAGCGGTTTGAATTCACGCATCAAGAATCATTAAATATCTTCGTAAGGAGTTGATTTCGGTAATTTTCGTTGTGCGCATCGTGTCCTGCGTGAAATTTTAGTTAAGAAATATGAATCAGAATGCTGAAATTCGAACCTTGTCTAGTGGTCCATTAAAGGTACTCACACACACGTCTATCCAGAGAAGGTGGGTGAATTCAAATAAGGGTCTAATTTCAGGTCCCATTTCATCCCAAAAATTTTTTGTGAATTTTTGGGTAAACCGAACTTTATTTCGACTATCATTAGGTGTGGAATCAGGAAATATAGCTCGTCAAGCTCAATGGTTGGGCTTGAACCCGAATTTTGACCGTCAAGTGTATCACTTCCATCAATTTGCTCTAATTTTGTCTGACTTCTCCGATTTTCGTCTTAAAAATCAAATATAACATCTCTCATTGAAAATTGTCTTAAATTTTCATTGAAACATTGTTGAACACTATACCAAAACATGATTTTTTAAATTGAATCATTATACATCTTGCGGAATAGAGAAAATAAGAGAAAAATTGATTAATCGCATGATGGAGTTTGCTACTTTGGGACATTTCTTCCGGTCTGAGTGCGCACTGACCTTCCTCGACAGGGAAGAAAGCCCAAGTTTAGAGAACATTGCAATATGAAGTGGATAAAAAATTGAAGTTTTTTTCTACCTCAAGCAACAAAAATTACAATTCCCCGGAGACCATTTAGCATACCCCGCGAAATGAAGGAGTTTTTAATGGAGCCAGTAATCCTAGCTTCAACAGTTTAGAGCCTGGTCTCCTTTGGACGCCACAGCTTTCGGAACGCAATCCACTCCAGTCTTGTAGCTTGATGCAAAAATTTGAAAACTGTCCAACTTTTGCTGATTTTGTCGCATTCGTAACATCTTTGTAAGAAAACATCGCTACGCTCTAGCAAACGCAAACCGTGTTGCATCCCTCAGAAATCAGCCTAGCTGAAGGTGCCGCGTGCGCTGCGCAGCTGTCACAAATTTTCTTTTACCTCAAGGAACTTTTTTAACTCTCAAGAGATGAAATTGCATACTCAACGAACTGAAGGAATTCCGAGTGAGGCCTCTGATTCCATGATTTACCTTTACCCTAACAATCTAGTTCAGAATGCTGCGTGCCGATGCCTGCAGTTTTATTTGACGTCCAGCAACTATTTACCTGTCAAAGAATAAAATTTCATTCCAATAATATAAAAAAAAAAAAAAAAAAAACTGTTTGTGTTAGTTTACTGATTAGCCATCCATTGTCTGATTGGTGAGCAATTGCGAATAATGCCAAAGAAAATGAAAGAAATAAAAATGAACCTAAATACCAAGATAAATAAATAAGATAAGGGAAACAAAAGCTTCGACCAACTATAATTTTTCTCCTTTTTCGTCTCAATTAGGAAGGAATTATAGTTAGTATTAGGACAGTTGTTACTTCATAAAAAAATATTTTGGAGAGAGGATTTCCTTCTCCTTAAAATAGCTGGCAAATTTTAGTGGGTGGAGGCATTCCAATGAGAAACGTGCTTGCTCTCTTAGTTCTCCTTGCAGCAGCCCTGATGACACCTCCTCTCCTGATATGACTTTTGAATGCAGTAATATTTCAGCTCCGCATTTCAGGATTTTCTGAATTGTGTCTATTAAATTATGTTAAATCGTATCTTGGTCTTGAACGAATTGGGAAAGAAATAAATGTAGTGCAAAGACTACAGAGGAGAAAAAAAGAAATGAAACCATAAAAAATTTGGGAACATGAAACTTTGAAATTATTTAATTTTCATTTGATTTTAACATGGTTTATGACAGTATATAAAATATTACAAACTAAAATAAAAAAGGCATCCGGACTTCATGATAATTTCAACAAAAGCATGAGATGTTAACACTTTCGACGAAGCGCCTTTAACTGGAAGGAATCTGCACTCCAAATCTTCTGAAACAAAAAATATAGAATTAATTAAATGAGGTTTCAGATAAATGCAAATTGTAATTCAATTATAATAATGATTTATTATCATTCATCATGTCCATTTTTTAAGGTATTCCAAGAGGAGAAAAAGATAGATGGAGATAAAGAGAAGCACAGAAAAAGAGAGAGATGAAGGGAAATTTGTCTTGTAAAAATATTAAATTAAATTATTTAAACTTTCATTTTATACGGAATTGCCATGTTTAGTCCTGAAATCAATTGTTCGTTGGTCACTTTTGCGGTGAGACATTAATAATCCTAGAAATCTGGAGAATTTAATTAATCATTATTGAACTTGGGAAAAATTAATTCAAAAGGATAATGATAGTTGTGAAAACGATACAGCTTGCCCTTCTTGACGACAATAATTGAGTTTTGTCACAATATTGAATTTTATTAATTTTCCTAAATTTTGAAAAATGAAAAAATAAAGAATTAAATATTAGCTGTGTTTAGTACTTGACTCTGCTAAGTTCATAAATTAAAAAATAAAAAAGTATAAAACTAGGTAAACGAAACATTCAGCTCACCTTTTTTGACATAATCAAGCAGCATTATCTATTATCAGCAATATCTGAGTATTTAGGAATGCAGTTATAAACATATGGGAATTGAAAATGCTAGTAAATCTCATGCCGCTTTACGGTAAGCAGTTGAAATTCTTTTTTAAAAAAAAAACCAGTTTTTCTAGAGGAGCTACTTATAAATCTGATCTGCAATGCTTAGGGCACAGAATTGCTGAAATAAGATGCAGTTGTACGTCCACTAGCATAAAGTTAAACAAACCACTTGTAACTTATTCTGTTTCCACTACAAAGAGTTTTCTGTCAAAATCCTTCAACCGATTGTTTTACCTGACTCGTAAAAACAACCCATCTCCTTAAAATGACGCTACAGTGGGCTCATGATCAGTTCATGTGAGGGGTTATTAATAAATAAAATATTCAGCTCACCTCTTATTCTATAATCAAAGTAGAACATGAATTTGTCAGGATTCTTTTAAAAGAAATGAACCAGACTGCTCGTAACTTATTATTTAAGACTTGCAGAGAATTTTCAGTCAAAATCACATCCTTAATTTTTTTGCCCGAATCAACTATTCATGTCACACGTCCACAAATGAAAAAAACTGTGGAGTTTGTATCAAACCTTTCGTAGGTCAAAATTTGTTTCAGGTGTAAGAAAGGGTTATGTAATAAAATTGTGTACCTACTTGTTAAAAATTTGAGTAGCCCACCACGATTCTTCAATCAGAAAAGGTGTCAGTAAATGCTTAGCTGCAGATATGGCAGCTTTCCTTACTTCTTGAAAATGTAGGTTGAATCTCCAAAATTTCAAACAGGTAAATCACGTCCTTGGCTTCTGCAAATCATGCTAGCTGTAGACTTTTCTGCTATTTCAGGCAACCAAGATATCTTAGGACCTGTTGGAATGCATTAACAGTGAGCTAAATAACTGGGAACTTTCCATTTTTTGTAACAAGAAAAAATTTCATAACTCAGTGGCAGGCTCTGAAATCTTACGTTTCACACATCCTTCGCATAAAGTTACCTTTGAATGTTCAACTGTGATACTCTCATCATCCCATCTTGCCAGCGGATTCATTGATTGACCAGTGACAGTCAAATGAGAAAGAATATTTTAATTCATGTCATTGCAATAGCATTCCTACAAAATGCATGTTATCATTTCATACCAAAGAAATTAGGTAAAAAAGAGAACAAATCGGGCGTCAGGACTACGGACAAGAAGTGATGAGTCCAAGTGATACATTAGACTAGAAACATGCGTTGGGTCCTTCTCGATGAAACTGTGGGATGATTTGTGAAATTTGTTTCAACTCAAATGGAGTTAATATTGCAAACAAATGAGTATGAGGGTATATTGTGTGGGTAACAATAGCTCCATCATGTATGTATCAAGTTCTCAGGGACGTTAATTGTCTCCTCGTTACAATTTTCTAAATTTTCCTCTAACTGATAAAAATTCTCTAAAAAAGGATGATTTGTGTAGAGTTTACTTACTCAAATATTTTCAGATTATGCTTCACTTCACACAAACAAACAATTATCGAAACAAAACTTCCGAGAGGCACTTATTTATCAGGGTTCCCCTGATGGTTTGATCAAATGTTGGGTTAGAAATGTTAGGTAAAGAATAAGCTGATATTATCACACATTTATCAGTGTAATTAAGTACAGAATTGTAAATCTATCACTAAATGACCTCCATTTCAACTCAAGGCCCCCTTTAAGGATTATTAATTACTTACGAGTTCATTTGAATTAAGCTTCCATCAGACTGACAAGGTGGACTTAATGAGCTCTGTTCTACTTTGTCCACTCTGTCCCATTGTGGGACCGAGTGGACACGGGACCGAAGTGGACACGGGACCGAGTGGACATGGGACCGAGTGGACATAAGCTTTATTTTAAACTTTTCTTGGTAATTAAGACAAATATGATGCTTATAACTCGTAAAGTGTGGCTAACCCAACCTCAATAATCAGAAAAATATCGAGGTTTTCATGAATTAACACTTGAAGGGTATTTAAGAGCTGAAACAAATGTGGACATGTATGCTTTACGAGCTGTTACCTACCGTGTTTCACATTAGCTTTAGCACCTTTTCTCCTCTTTAAGGGCACAAAACTTTAAAATCTTCGTCTTTCCAGCAAACTACAACATAATAACAACCTTATCACAACATAAACAGATGACACTGACGAAAGCGCTACGCAGCGGAAATTATTCAAAACCCGTGACACCGTTGCCAAGTCACGCGCACTGTTGCCGGGGACAAAGATTTAAACGCGTGAGAAAAGTTTTTGAAATAGTAAAACGTGTTTTATACTATTCTTTCTCAAATTCAAAATCATTACCTTTCATCTCCGATAAAGTTTTCCCAAGTAATCGCTCTAGCTATGCTGCAATATCGATTTAAAGTCAAGAACCGGGCACGGGGGACACGCAAATTTGGGACAAATGAAGGCAATCTGCGCATTAAAAATTGTGCTAAATTTGTATTTTAGTCCAAAGAAAGTGGAAAATAGCATGTAATAGTCAACAATAGTTTGGAAAATGAGAAAAAAATTTACTCTGCTCATGGTTCTCAGATTATGACGATTAAAACAGCTGGGGACACCAGATTAGACGCTTATTTGAAAGCACCCAGGTACTCAATTCTTGTGTTTTTTTTTTTTTTTTTTTTTTTTTTTTTTTTTTTTTTTTTATGTGTGCACTATTTTCATCATATTCAAAGGGTTGCCCTGTCTTTCCAGCAATTTTCAAGGAAATTTCCATTCTGTAAAGTGTACTGAACGGACGTCCATGATTCATAATTACGAATAAAAAGCAGAGAAACACTCAACAGAGATTTGTCAAAATCTGCTAACAAAACGC